ATTTGCTCTGTGGACTGTAGAAATTGGCTGAATTTTCTTTTCCCCACAGAAAATAGGATGGGACTCAATAACTGAATACTCAAAATCCCTTCACAAACAGAAAGCCATTAAAACTGACAGCAAAGGGTCAGGAATCTAAAGCTAATCATGGTGGCTTAAAAAGTCAATTAGATTTCAGCAATTTCATCTGCAGACCTCTCCAATTTCCATAAAAAATTTTTTGGCGGGTCTATGAAAGAGATAAAATAAGAAGAGGCTGCTCTCAGAGTGAATCCCGAGGTGGCCAAAGGGGCCAACAGCTCTGCTCTTCACCTGTCCTTCAGCGCAGGATGGCGGTCAGCTACATCAATGCCACCTGCACTGCCCACGTGGAAGCATCCTCAGCAGAATCCTTGAAGGCCCTTCATGTATTTGTGCTTGGCTCAGCCAAAGTAAACTTGTACACTGACCTTGTGAGCAGACGCCTGGTAATGAGGACAGAGGACTGAGTAACATTTTCAGAAAATTGCTTTACGGTGTAATAAATGTTCTGATTAGATTCCTGTTTTCATCTCTGACATGCTCAAGTGATTCAACCTGAGGATCCCAGGCAGGAAAGCACCATTATCTAAATATCACACAAAGAGTGCAAGAATTTTTAGCCTAAAAGATATTTCTAACAAACTATATGAGATATGTATATATATGTATATGCTAATGTATAGTAAACAGCACACAAATTTTGCTATTGTTTTTCTTTCGACTTCTCTTTAAACTTGACCTATTTCTTAGTTTGATTCTAATTTACTTGAATATGAAATATCTGCTTCAGTGAGTTCAACAGATTTTTAAAAAAATGTCTCCAGAGATGAAACTAATTTCAGCCACTTAAAAAAATAATTACAGTAAACCTTGAGGCCAACAGAGCTAATGTTACACAGTACCCAACACAGTTATTGACTATTTCTAATAGACACAACAGAACCAAGAATTGAGTGTCTAGCACTCCCGGAGTCCTGAGAACATGACATCATCTCATGCACTGAGACTTTTTTGGCTAAAGAACAATGTGAGCAAGGAGGGCAGTGAGCTTCAGCGGTGAGCTTGTCTTGTAGTAGTGATTTTGGTGGTTTTTATAGTCTCTGTCTGCTGCCTGGGGGGTGGCGGGTTGATTTTGAATAGTTAAATATAGAAGTGAAATCCATGAATCACAAAAGGAGGAAGTAGATACAGGATTATCTTTTGTGGCATTTTTATAGAAAAGTCTTCCTTTGAGATAATATTATTTAGTAACAGAGGGTCTTAGCAACCAAAAGATGGGTTAAGATAGAGACATGGCTACAGCCAGACAGTAATTGGCCCGTGAGGCCACTGACCCTAACTATCTTAAACTGCATCAGCACCTATCTTAGATTAGGTGTTAAATAGAGAGATTAACTGTGCGCATAGAAGGCAAAATCTGAGATAAAATGAGAGAATAAGAATAAAATTATATTGTGAGGGTTGTTGACTTCCCATGAAGCAGTAACAGGCTTACTAAATATAAGTCAAGATGTAGTAACTACCCCACAAGTAGTTCTAATATATAATATGTCTCAGGAGTTGGAGAGATGACTCAGTGGTTCTTACAAAAGACATAGGTTCAGTTTCCAGGACCCATATAATAGGTAGTTTACAACAATCTAACTCTCATTTCATGGGCTCCAACACCTGCTTCTGGGGCACCAGGCGCACACACACACACACATACAAGCAATAAAACACATTAGAAATATTTCTCAGTGTCAAACAGAGAACCAGTGGGGTTTCTTTCAATATTTACTAAAACAACATTCTCAAACATGTTTTCAATGCACATTCAAAGTTGAAGTTCAACTTGTAGTTTTCTACACAAGATACTGTTAAATAATGCTAATGCTTTTTGTGTGTGTGTGTTTTGTTTTTCGAGACAGGGTTTCTCTGCATTGTTTTGGAGGCTGTCCTGGCACTCACTCTGTAGACTAGGCTGGCCTGGAACTCACAGAGATCCACCTGCCTCTGCCTCCTGAGTGCTGGGATTAAAGGTGTGCGCCACCAATGCCCGGCCAAAATGATGCTTTTTAAATAAGACAATTTCAGAAATGTCTTTGAGGCGTAGCCTGCAAAATCAAACAATGCTGATCTTAAACGGGAAGCAGCCAAGTGGCTTGTGGTCACACACCCCCCCCCTCTAGATACAATCACTCTAAACCCTCCGACTTGTGCTACAAGAGGGAGAGTTTTCTCCTTTAGCTTAGTCCCTTCCCCCACACCCATTTCTCAACATAGCAAGATGACTGTCGTTAAGTTTTCTGTTTTTCTTACTGCTGGGCTGGGCCGGGTTCCATTATTGTACGTTGCTTCTAATAGAAACTTTGTTGTTGTTGTTTCTCCCCCAGAGTTAATAATTGCCTTTTTGGTTCTCATTTGCATAGTCCCCAGTACATTTGTCGTGGTGCTCAGGGCTGTGGGTACACAGGTACACACTGTCTGCACCCAGGGAGTTCTTTGATGTGTTACACCATATGCACGGCTGGGAAAGTGTCACCCCTGCACGGCATCAGATTCTATTCTCATCTCTGTACTTCCATTCTTTACTTTCAGAAGCACCTCTGTTAGCACCGTCCATCCACAGGACCCACTGCCGGCTGTCTCCTCAGGGTTCTAGCGAATTTTGTCATCTCCCTTTGGTGCTGGAATAACCTATTTCCCACATCCCATGGGCTCTACCCCCACTCCCATTAGCTTTGACAGAATATATCTGCCCCAATAAAGGTGTGAACTTGGTATATTTTATGGGTTTGAAATTTATTCCTTTTCAATTATTTTAAGTTTACGCCTGATTGACAGGCTTGACCAGTATAGAACGTGGGCCAAGTTACAAGATGGCATCATGGGTGATGTCACATTGCTTTCATGCTTCTATTTCACTAATTAGAACTTTACTGTTATTCTGATGCTAAATCATTGGAACATGATGTGCTTTTAGTCTCTGAAATCTTTAAGAATTCTGTCCTTGTTGGGGTTTGGTGGGGGTGGAGGTGGAGGTGGGGGAGGGGGAGATTCAATGCCCTGGACTGGAGATGGTCATTTTTTGTCCTGTGGTGCTCGGTGATATATGGGCTCTTTGATCTGGAGGTTCATTGCCCTCAACACTGCAACACACTCCCTGATTTTCTTTTCTTTGATAACCACATCAGTTCCCTGCTTTCACAATGTCTAGTTGTGAAGGATGGATTTCCAGGGTGGTCTTTATGGTGGATGTGATCAGCAATGCATTCTCATTAGGCAAAAGACAAAGAGCAAGTAAACTCTAATAAGCTCAAAATGTTGCTGTTTTAGAGTTTATTCATCCATGTAATGAAAGAAAAGCCCCTACAAGTCTGGTAAAAGGAAAACCGTATAGTAGTAAACACTGTGGTATACTACTATACAATGATCAATAGCCAGTATCAATGTAGCTATCTACGTAAGTCCTATTAACGAATTTCTACTTAGCCCTCACTATAATACTTCCAGGCAGATCATCTGAGTTCTCACTTTTTGATTATGTCAACTTTGGTAGGTGAGCCAAAGGTCCCTGCAAAGTTAAAGTGTCCTCTCGCAACAAACACTCTTTCACCATCGCCGTTCTGTAAAATCACTGCTTAACTGTATCTTTGCATAGCACAGATCAGTTAAGAAGAGCCTGCTGGCCGGGCGGTGGTGGCGCATGCCTTTAATCCCAGCACTCGGGAGGCAGAGGCAGGCGGATCTCTGTGAGTTCGAGGCCAGCTGGACCAATAGCCTCCAAAACAATACAGAGAAACTTTGTCTCGAAAAACCAAAAGAAAAAAAAAAAAAAAAAAAAAGAAGAGCCTGCTGGAGAGCCGGCTCAGAAGCTAAGAGCACTTGCTGCTCTTGCAGAGGACCCAGGTTCAGTTCCTAGCATCCACATTAGGAGGTACACAACTGTCTGTAACTCTAGCTCCAGGGAACTCTATGCTTCTTGACTCTGTGGGCACATACATGCATTATACCCTCATAGATACACAGGGACACCCGCCCCCAAACACACACAGTTAAAACAAAAATAAATCTTAAACCAACAACAAACAACAAAAGAGCCTGACTCCAAAGTAGAATGCTAATCACCCCATTTCACTTCATATTAGTAAACCATTTGAATGAAATTAAGAATTCCTGGTTTCAATATGAGCAAGCACAGTGCTGTCATGTACGCTCAGAGACACGTCACCCTTGTTTTATACACAAAGCAACCAAGGCACACATAAATTAGCAAACTGCTTATGGTGACTTCAAAAGTCACAGTCAGCACCTTCTGGTTGTGATATCGTTTTTTTGTTTTTTTGTTTTTTTCCCATATACCACACGCTAAAATCAGTTGTACTATGCGATTGAAAATAAACCACACCAATTACTACATGCAAAGGAGCCCAAGAGCCAAAGCGCCAGTCTCTGGAGAAGGCTGGTTCAATAGGTAACTTGGCTAGAGAGAACAGCTATAACATTAGCGACTCAGAACAAACTTTTTACATGCTGTATTTTGAATAACCAGTTACCTCAAATTGGTTGAAGTAGAGGTGCAGAAGGAAGCCAGAAATCCTAGCAAGGCAGTGCACAGAGAGAGAGAAAGAGAGGGAAAGAGAGAGAGAAAAAGAGAGAGCAAAGACACAGAGAAAAGAATCATCATCTTTACTTAAGGTAATTTAACAATACTATTTCAAGATTACAAGGTGGGAAACTGTACCACAAAATGACATTTGCTGTTATGTTTTATTTGTTAGCTTCCTCTAATTTCATAATAAATTAAGAGCTTTGAACTCCTAAGTAGCACAGAAAATGAAGTGTTAAAAATATCATTAATATTACCTACTTGTCTATACAAGTGCGAGAATAAGTATAAAATAGAGTCCTGTCAGTTTTACAACCATCTAAAATAAAAGTGGCTACCTTTCTGTATGGGCTGATGGGAAAGCCAAAGATGACAAAGGGAAACTTACTTTCACTGCTGCTGTGACAGCAGCTGTGGCTGCTAAATTCAAACCTTGCCGTCCGAAGTTCACCATTGTCTCATAGCCTTTTTCCTTTGCTTGGACAATATAATCATCAATTTCCTGGGGGTAAACAGTTAACAATAAGATCAGGTGAGGCCACGAGTAAAAAAATAAAATAATTAAGCTGGGTGTGGTAGTGTATGCCTTTAATCTTCCTCTGGAGAGAAAGATCTTTGAGGCTAGCCTGGTCTACATAGGGGTTCCAGGTCATCCGGGACCATACTATGAGATCCAGTCTTAAAAACAAAAACAAAAACTGGCAAACTGAAATAAGAACACATCCGTAGATGTTCGTTTATTCAGGCTTTTTTGTCTGTCTGATTATTTTTTTGAGATGGGGGTCTTACTATCTAGCCCTGGCTGGCCTGGAACTGGATATGTAAACCAGGCTAGCCTATAATTCATCGATATGCCTGCCTCTGCCTTCTGGGGTATACACCACCATGCCCTGCTGGTTTTATTTAGAATTACTATTAAGCCTCTTTTCATAACACTGGGTAGGGTGTGGAAATAACTAACATAGCTTACCCTTTCCTTTGAAGAGAGAAGTGGATGAAGGAACTTTCTATATATTAAACTCGCCCCTCTGGTATAAGGCGACAGCAGCCAAATGACAAAAGCAATCTTCAGCTCGTAGTACAGGGGAAACCTAACAGGAAGCAAAACAAAGAAATAATCAGAAAGAAGTATGGTAAGAAGCAAAACAACAAAAATCACGGAAATCGCAAAATCACCTTATCCGTTTGCACACAAGGAAGTTGCTGACGAAGGAAACAATCACAGTGGGACTTATTGATGGGTTCATATCATTAAAACAGAGATGAGTTGACCAAGGACTGCAAGGGTCCTCGTGGGCATCTTGCACAGGACAGCGCCTGAACTGATTACAATGGCTCAAAAAGATTGGGCTCACCATTTGGTCAGGGTAGCAAAGGACTGCCCCAGATGCATGTGACACACCTACAGACAGCAGGGGACAACTTCATCTGTCCCACGTGCACATCGATTCTTTCTCCAAATTCCAATTGCAGACAAAGGAAGAGTATGAAAAATTAGCACGGAAGCAGTCTGGAAATTAGTTAAGGGCCTATGTCCAGCATGGTCGTTCCTATGGGTGGAGTTACCTCTCCAACCCTGGTCCATGAGATCTGACAAGAGATGATGTAAGTCTTAATTGCTCTCTGACACTCTTATCCAGTTCCGCCAACCTTTTGCTAAAGCTTCTGCCATGGAAATATTTCCTTCTACAGCCTTGGTTCTGAATGAAGACATTAAGGGAGCTCAGCCCAGCAAAGCTGCAGCCAAACCCCCACCCCGAGGCCACTAAAGCCAGACAAGGAGGTCTGCTGTTCTGACCCGCTGTGCTTCACAGGGCTGCCTGCCAGCACGCCAAAAGCTAACTCATACACCGTGAGATGACCACTGGGTACCACGATACAGCGAGCCCCAAGTCTGAGTTTTTATGGTAAGGCAGATAAGCAGGGAAGCAGTGAGGAGTGACTACTGTGTCGTCAGCAAATCATCCTGGCCACAGTGCAACTTTATAGAGTGAATGAACTCCCAGTATTGAAAAACAAAACCCCTATGATTGTGTGGATCCATGAAAAGTGTGGGTGATGTATGCTAACACCAGCGGTTCTCACCATCCACCATGAGATCCATATTAAACTCTGGTTGTAAGCCTGTGTGGCAAGCGCCTTTTTAGAATGAAGCACCTGTCAGCCCAACTTTTAACATTCAACATCTTTTACATTTTCAATAATGTAAATAAGCTACACTCCAAATTAGAAAAAAAAAAAAAAAAAACTGTGGGAACTGGAGATGTATCTCAGTTGGTAAAGGGTCTGCCTTCTAATATATGATGGTCTAATCCCCAGCAATGCAGTAAAAAAAAAAAAAAAAAAACACAGGTGGTTCATGCCCGTAATCCTAGCATTTAGAAGGCAGAGGCTGGAGGATCAGGAGTTCAAGGTCAGCCTTGGCTATGTGAGATCATGCCTCAAAACAGATGAGTAAATAAGGAAAGGAAGGAAGGCCTTTGAAACTTGAGACCCCTCGAATGGTTAAGAATCTTGGTTTTGTCAGTTAAAAGCTAAGAGAAGCTGGGTGCAGGTGAATCCCTGTGAATTATGAGGCCAGCCTGGTCCACAAGCCAATTCCAGGCTAGAGATACACAATGAGACCTTGTCAAAAAAAAAAAAAAAATTGAAGTCTGATGGTGCATATTTTTCCTACAAATTTGTGTGATGACATGATAAAATGTTCTATGAGAATTTTAGACTGGGAATAGTATAAAGAAGGCACAAGAAGGAATAGGAAGGGATGGCTGGGTACCTCTAGGTAGGTACCATAGTCTTTATCATCCATCCATCCATCTATCTATCTATCTATCTATCTATCTATCTATCTATCATCTACCTACCTACCTATATATCTATCCATCTATCTGGCTTCATTTAGTAGCTCAGATAAAGAAAGGATAACCGGGTTAATTTCAGCTGCAGTCTATGGCTCATGGGAAGTGGAAACACTGGCAAGATCTCGGGTTTCCACTTTTACAAGGGAGACTTCTCTAATGGCATGGCTGGATGGAGAGGTACGCTGGAATACCACACGGAGATCCGAGTCCTTAAGTGTGGGTCCTCTACAAACTGTGAACTCAATGAGGGAATCAACGTGGTGTAATTACGCCTCGTGTTGCTTTGCTAGAGCCGCCAGGGAGCTGCTGTCGCGTGGGCGGGTGTCCACGTGGCTGCTGACGTGTAGTCTCAATGTTCCTGCCTCAGAGCTCTGGGGCTGGGAAGGGAGGGAGGGCCACGACCAGATGCTGCGGATCGGAGAGGAGTCATTTCGGAAACTATCGAGAAAAACAGTCTGAAGTCATGAGTGTGGAGAGCGGATGATGACAGCCAGGTTCTCTATTTTAAGATGCTGGTGGGAGAGGGAGGTGGGCAGGGCTTAGCACAGCGAGCTGCCTTCATGAGGGCAGGCTCCACAGAGAGCGCTGCTGTCACGAGGAAGACGGAGGAAGAAAACCATGCTGGGTAATTAAGCTGCTTGATCTATTTCTCATGGTGGGAAGCAAGAGCCGGTAAGAACTCAGGACACCTGAGAGCGCCCGAGTCCCTAGGAGTGGTGCACTAACTTACCATACAAGTGTCTGATCAGCCACCGTTTCAATCACAGTATAGAGGGCAAAGACGATCCAGTACATCATCCAGCGAACCTGGAAGTCATAAAAGCATTCGTGAAACAATTGGCTAAGACAACTGCAGGGTCTGGGGCCTCAGCCCTGAATCTCATGCGTCTCTGGATATACACTACACTGGGGTTCAATGCAGAGGACGATGGTCCAGTTTTATGTATGAGTTTGTGGGATGACTACATCATGTGTTTTCAGATACAGGAGTCCACAACAAATCTCTGAGGTCTGGCAGAATGTAACTCAGTAACCAGAATCAAAGAACCATTCACACAAATAAAAGAGTACAAGACATGACAACATCTAATGCTAACTGGTCTGCAGAATTTTTCATTTATCAGGGCTGGAGTGGTTAAGAGTACTGGCTGCTCTTTTAGAGGATCCCGGTTCGATTCCCAGCACCCACATGACAGCCCACAACTGTCTGTAACTCCAGTTCCAGGGGATCTGACACTCTCACATTGGCATACACGCAGGCAAAACACCAGTGCACATAAAATAAAAATAAATCTTAAAAAATAAATTAATAAAAGGGTACATTAAGTACTTTTCATTTATCTGGGTGTGATGATGCATGTCTTTAATCCTAGTGCTGGGAGATAGAAAGAGTAGATCTCTGTGAGTTCAAAGATAATCTGGTCCACATATCAAGCTCCAGGTCAGCTAGAACTACATAGAGAGACCTCACCTCAAATAAATAGATTTTACATTATCATTTTTCCACGTACAGAAATTGTTCACAGACTAGGAACCACCATAGGGCTGTTTACTTGCTTAAATGACAAATCCATAAAAGCAGTTAGTTTGTTTGAGAACCTGAAGTTAGTGTCTGCCTTCACTCCTGTGGGGAAATGTGGACTTCCTGCCTGCTGAACGAGAGCATTCTAGCTGGTCCCCCACTCTCTGCTGTCTTCTGGCACTATATCCTTTCATGGGCAGATGCCAGATTAGTAGCTCTTAAACTCGCTCCCCCTCCCTTTTCATCAAGGCCAGCAGATGCACTTTCTTTCAAGTAGGTTCCGTTTGTTTTTCTTTTTCCTTTCTTGTCTGTTTGCTTGTTTGTTTCCCTGCTCAGCAATATAAGCAAATACACAACCCCACACCGACCACTGGACTTGGGACTGTTAAGTACACAATATAGCAATAATGCCTTCAACCCCTCTAACAACATTATGAGTTGGAAAATGCAATAGCTTCTGCCACAGGTCAGGGAATAGTGGCAGAGAGGTAAAGGGCTTTCTGAAGGTCGCTTTGCAGCAGTGTGGATCCAGGCTGCCTAATTCTGGGATGGGCTAGCCAGCTGGACCATACTCAGATGGAAAACCGGGAGGAGCCCGAGAAAACACACTGCTTCTTCTCATCCACTCCAGTGTCTTGAGAAGCAGTTAGGATACAGTGCTAGGCAAAAAATATTTTTAAAGTTAGCACTTTAATGGGTTGCACTGCTGCCATGGGGGCATCGCTGTCCTAATATGTCCTTATTAACTACTTAGTTTCAAGATAGATGCTTGTTTTGGCTAGTTCACAGACAACATCAAACCGTGACTCAAGGCTAGGGATGTAGCTAGTGGTAGAGGATGTACACACTACAACAATGTCCCTGGAACTGGAGGTACAGCTAGGTGGCTGTGAGCTGTCCCAGGGGTGTCAGAACTGAGCTGGGTCCTCTCCAAGAGCAGTAAGTGCTCTTATCCACTGGGTCACCTCTCCAGCTCTAATGAAATTCTTCTTTTTTAAGACAGGGTTTCTCTGTAGCATTGGAGCTTGTCCTGGAACTCACTCTGTAGACTAGGCTGCCCTTAAACTCACAGAGATCTGCCTGTCTCTGCCTCCTGAGTGCTGGGATCAAAGGCATGCTCCACCACTACCTGACATGTAATTTTTTTTTAAGAAGAAGAAGGGTATTTCTTTGTAGTTAAACTAAACCATCACCAAACAGCAAACTATGACATCATCAGTATATTCTAGACTTCCCCCTGTGGTACTGAATAGTATTTTATTGTTGTTTTTTTTTCCTTAGGTCTCACATTGTAGCCCAGGTTGGCTTCAAACATGTGACAATCCTCCTTCCTGGGCTTTCCGAGGTTACAGAGTCATCATGCTAGCACTGGCCATACTTTTATATAAAGTAAAACCCTATGGTTTGTATTTGTCCTTTGTGAATAAATCCCTTGACAATCTGCTCTTGAGTGTAAGGGGTTTCCTTTTTATCAGAAATATGGGCAGTAAAGGTAACCAAACTTAGGCAATAAATAATGTCACTCGATGACGGCGAGCTGTTGTTCATGGGAGCGAACGCAGAGAAGGGTAACCTTGGAAATGTGCTGCCTTAATTTTAACAATAATGGATCTGGTTAGGATTTTACATGAAACGATGACTCAGCAAAGCTTTTAGAAAAACTGTGCCTCAAGGCCACCCGGCTTCTGTTTAAGGTTTTTCCCAGAGGAAATACCAGAAGTCAAGGTTAAAAAAAAAAAAAAGCAGTTCATAGTTTTCATATTAGATGAAAATACCAATAATAAAATGCAGCATTAGAATTAATATTCGTGATTTCTGGGAAAACCATCACCTTGACTGTCCTATACTGTGTACAGACCCTTCTGTGTCTGTAGAGATTGTCCCTCAAACTCAAACCCTGCAAATACAAAGCCTGTTGCTGTGCAAGTCTCAACTATCCAGTAGCTTAATATTTACCAGTAACCAATGTATATCCTCTTGTATACATTAAATTGTCTCTAGGTTACTCATGATATCTAATATGATGCAAATTTTTCCCTCCTCCCTCCTCTTTTCTGCAGGGTCTTCCATTGATCATCCAGCTATGGCCTTTCAAGTGGTGACGTCACAGCTGTGTGTTAGCAGCTCTATAACCACTTACCGACCACAAAAGAGGCAATATGTACACCCATAAGCAGTAAGTCGAATACACACACACACACACACACACACACCTTTGACTTATCTTTCATACAAAACATAATGTAGTTAGTTCTTAATGACTGAGGTGCCATCATTAGCAATGACATGAACTGATACAGTGGTATCCAATCTTATTACCTATTTGTCATAGGAAAAGACACAAGTATGGGCTGGTGAAATAGCTCAGGAGCTTGCCATTAAGCCTGATGACCTGATTTTGATCCCTGGTATCCACATGGTAGAAGACGAGAAGGGTCTCCTGGCCGTCACATGTACTCTGTGTCACAAAGAGGAACAAGTATACACACATGCAAATAAATAAATAAATAAATGAAATTAAAAAAAAAAAAGACAAGAGCCAGGGGGGTGGTAGCAGTGGAGAACACCTTTAATCCCAGCAGTTGGGAGGCAGAGGTAGACAGATCTCTGTGAGTTGAGGCCAGTCTGGCTCGTCTATAGAGTGAGTTCCAGGACACCCAAGGCTACACAGAGAAACCCTGTCCCGAAAATCAAAAAGAAACAAACCAAACAAACAAAGAAAGAAGAAAACAAGAGACACATAGCCAACAGCTTCAGCCCACAGGGTTTTAATATTTTAATGAGGCAACAATGATATTGAAGTATAAGAATACTATGAGAAGGACAAGAATAATCTAAGGAAGGTAGGCAGAAGAAAACCTCCAAGGAAGAAGAAGCAAGCGTGTATGCTCTTGCTAGGACAAAGGGAAAAGGAAGTGAAAACTTGGCGGTGTAGGGAAATAGGTAAGAGGGCTGAAGGAGGTAAGCACTTCCCCTGCTTGGGGCCAGAGTGCGGCTCATTTGTTAGGAGCGGTGTGCTGGCTCTGAGAAGAACCAGGCAGTTTCTCTGTGCAGCCCTGCCTGCCCTGGAACTTGCTCTATATAGACCAGGCTGGCCTTGAACTCAGAGATCCAGCTGCCTCTGCCTTCTGAGTGCTGAGATTAAGGGCTTGTGCCACCACCACCTGGTTTAGAAAAGCCGCTTTCATGAGTAGCAAAAGATGCTGCCTAGGAAAGGCTGGGTCAGATACTGAGCAATGATGCCTTCACCCGTGTGGAGCGTTAGTGAGCTGTCTAGGGCAATGATAGGGGGGTTTATGAAGGCAAAGCTGCTGAGTGCCGGGCTCCTCAAGTCCGCTTGCAGGTGTGGGGGCTGAGTATCCAGTTCTCACCCGCAGAGTGTGAGCTGGGACAGTGGATGTCTACCTACAGGTCTTCTCTAGTTAGTTAGCAGGGAGCAGAGTAGCCTTGGAGGCTGTGTGCTGAGGGCGAGCAGAGTTCTTAATAGCTGTAGGAGGAAGAGTCCTGGCTGGTCTTGCTTCATGATGGGCTGGCACAGGACATACAAACCCCATATTCCTTCTGTCACCGCATACTTTGTTGCATGGTATGGTCAAAGCATCTGGCTGCCATTCTCATCTGTGGGGACTGAGAGGCTGGGGCCACCATAGAAATGGTTCTAGAACTAGCTGAGCACCCACCAGGGAGCTATTGTGGGCTGGCCGGGTCCCACCTAATGCCTGGTTAGTAGTGGCTGGTGCAATGGCTGCAGTGACGGAGATGAGAACTGTTTCCTGAGCGCTGCTGCTGTTGGGAAGCCGCTGGAGGGTAGGAAGAGGGACAAGCTCACACAGCATACTCAAACAGCCAGAGGCAAAAGAGCCTGAATTATGACTGGGATCCCTTGGAGGTGTGGCTTCTCACTGAGTTTGTTAACTCTCATCTAGCATTGTCCATGTTTTGTTACTTTAGCAGCATTACCCTTCCCTCCCATCATCTCCACTGGGCAAAACAAACAAACAACAAACAAAACCAAACCACCCCAAAAAAGCAAAAGAAAATAAATAAACACACAAACACACACACACACACTCTCTCTCTGTCTCTCTCTCTCTCTCAAGAGCATACACACACAGGTGTGGTCATTTGAGTCCACAATCCCAGAGCTAGGGGAGCAGAGACAATCAGTTCCCTGGGTTGGCCAGCCAGCCTGGCTGAATTGGTGAGCTGTGGGTTCAGACAGACAGACTGTCTAAAATCCTTTTTAGAAAGTAGAAAGGAAAAGAGGAAGGCAAGCATCCCAGTC